CGAGAAATGGCAGAAAGGACACGGTAGGCTCGTTCCTCAGTATGCGTTCAACGGTCGTTTTTTCGGTCGAATGAGTTATTCGTATTAACTCCCGCGAGCTTCGACGTGTATAAAACTAAGAGCAAGCGAGGTATGGCTCGCTGCACCTTGGCTATGCGGAAAGGAAAGGCTGTTCTCCTGCGAATCGGCACACAGACAGGGGAAACGTGTGGCTCATCCTCGTACACGTACAGCATGGCGGTCTCGTAACAAGTCACTGGAGGTGTATACGCGCTGGCGGCCACGGTAATGCCCCAGAAGGGTCTAAGACGCGCGTAAAATCCTCTCCTCCTCTCCTCGTGTACCAGGTGTGTCCAGAAATCAATCTCGAAACAGACTCCTTTGTCTCCCCTTTGCCAACTATCGCACAGATTTTTTACAAGGGACCCTTGGTGGTCCATCGAGAGCCACTTTTAGAGTGAAATCGACGCTCTCTTTGTTCAAGGTTCCAAACGATCTTAATTGTTGGAGAATAGTAAGTAAAATAGTAGAAAATATTTCACGAATCCAAGAAGCATAATAACATCCTTGGACAGCGGATTCGCATCTGAAGTGGAAAGTGGCGAGGTAGTTGACACTTTAATGACTGATGCGGCATTCGTTCTTTTCTTACACATTTAACCGGTTGCCGCGTTAATGTCTGTTTATATATTACGGTACCACAGTGGCGAACGTTTGAATATTCGCACGGATCGAACGATAAAAATGACGGGCAACTCGATTCGCGCGCTCATCACGCCGCGCGGATTTGTTGATAGACTTCCAACGGCCAATTGCACGTCTTGCAACGGTTTTTATAGGCAACGGCTTCTGTTAATAAGCCCTGACATATTACGCAAGAAACTCGATCAATTACAGTGATGAGCAAAACTGAACTCGCGCTTCGTGGTTACTTCGCGAGGGGAACATATATTTTGTAACAACGCCAGACAACTAAGCTTCTTCAGGATAGACGTTTTAAATTATATACTACATAATTGCATTCGATAGAAGAAAACGTAAAGAAAAGGAACGAGAAAAAGAAAGTTATGTTAGCTAAACGCGCTAGTGCTTCAAACATCTGTGCAAAATTATTAAGTGCAAAAATTAATTCTGTGCATTTACATTTATAACTGTAGTTTATATCCTAATGATTTTTCTTTATAAATAAATTGTAAGTTTGCCTTGGAAAGGGACAGAATTAATTCTTACAATTAATAGTTTGCGCAGAGGAGTAAACGGAACGGAAGAACGAGAGTTAGGCTCGTTTTGTAACGTTCACGTCTACGTCTTTCGATATCTCGTAGTAAGAAGAATGGAGTCACGCAACGCGCTGGAGTGAAACAATGTTACGTGAAGAACAATTGACCTGATGGTAGGAGGCACCCTATGAAAAATGAGCTTTCGCACAATTGACCTAATAACCGTGAAAGCGAGCAGCTCGAGCATAGTGATTGTCCCGAGGTTGAAAGGTGCGGTGCACGATGGGAATTGGTCGCTAATACAAGGTGTCCACCTTCATTACACCTTTCGACAGCTCCGCGAGACTTCAATTATCGTTGGGTGGCGACTGGGACCCTCGATCATGTGGGAAAACGTCGGGTCGTGCCCCTTTTCAGTGCCAAGAATTGTTAAGGCATGCGAATAATGCGAAACGAATTTCGTGACATCTCAATTTTTCGTTGGCAAGCGTGGTAGTACTTTGGTAGGCTGTGTTTAAAATGAGGTGAATGGCTGGGCTTGATCTCGAGCCAAGTGAAATTCCAGGTTCTGGAGAATGAAATATAAATAGGCTGTATATTTAGTTTAATCCTCGATATATTAGCATATAACCTGAAAGTTACGTGAGTCCATAGAGGGTTAAGTAGATTCTAAGGTAATTCGTGGTATCCCTTTACGAAACGTTCTGTGTAAGCTAAGGTTGCCTAATTGGGACCAAGTAAAAATTTTATTTTTCGTTCTTGTATACATTACAACCTATCCAATTTATTTTAGATTTGCTAAAGATTATAATTGATACACTAAAATACTTGGAAATTACATATTTGTAAGTAAAACCAGAAAGTCTCATTTAGGAAACTGGTAGTCTTAATTGGACTGGTTTCCCAAATTAGATCGGCCTAAAATTGATACCGATACATGACTGTACGCGGTAATATAAACGTACCATTCAAGGTGTAAAATAATCAAAAACTTCGAATGCACTTTTCAAAACCTCGGTCACGTCAGACCTGATCCCTTTAGTCATCCGTTATCATCATCGACATACCATTTTATGGCATTGTCACGTCAAAAATAATCACGCTGTATCCAGTGGCAATAAATTTAAACTACATACTTCCCTCAAACTGCTGTTAATCACACGCACGGAGCACCTCGCGTCTTATCTTAACTTTTCCCCGAAATTCAATTCCTCCGGCATTACGCAAAAGTCCCCGCGAGGCCTCGTTTCGAGCTCGTGAGAAAACGATACCCGTTGCGATCGACTGCTAAAAATTCCCAACTCGTTCGCCAACCCGATACTCATCCGTCGTATCATCGAACGACCGATCCCAGTTTTCGAAAAGGCCACTTCCTTGTCGGCGGTCTGAAAGCCATCCTCGCGGGGCAATTTCGCGCCGGCACGTGAGCGGACTGTGCAAACTCGGCTTCCCGTGTAAACGTCTTCGTCGGGTTTGTGTGCCCTCACTCCGGTTCCGCGCGTTTTCAGCTTCTTTCGGAGGCACACGGGTTACCGAGAGAGCCTCCAGAATAAGTATGCACGACCAATAAAACGCCAACGACGCACGTTACACCGTTCCCTCCTCAAACAGTCGTTCCACGCGAGAAGAAACTTGGATTTAGCGTCGAACCTCGTCGTAAACGCGCCATCGACGACTCGGATTCCTCGGTGACGCGAGCTTCTAGGACCCCAGGGGGAATCGTTGAACGCGCTTCTACGACCCTGCGTGCCATTTTACGTTCAGGACAATTCCGTTTTGCATCGATTGATATATTCTCGGTGACCAGGGGTCGTCCCATTAACGGAAACTGGCCCCGTCTGGGCGGATCGGGACGTCGTTTGCAGGCCCTTTCAGCGTCACCTAACGCCGAGTTGAGCTCGAGTACAGTCGGATACACATAGAGACGGAGGTATTTGTATGGGAGGAATGCAGATATACGAGGATCTATAGGAGTCATTCTTTGGGAGTCGGGACATTTTTGATGCCACTGTGTACATTATTACGAAGCCTTGTCGTATCCAAGGAAGTCTACTTGCTCTTTTATTAGTACTCCATCTTGTATACGTGCTAGGTTAGCTATGCTTTCTAATTTCTACTGATTTCCCACACCAATTTGAATTAACCTAGAGAAATAGTTTCTTTCTCAAAAACTGAAGTTAATCTTGACTACTCCCTCCTTCATATTAAGTCTCCAATGTTAAATTTGTTTCAAACAGTTTCAAGAACCAAGTGAATTATATCTTAAAATGATGTACATTTGAAAGAAACCTTGGCTGAACCAGACTCCCCCTTAAGAATTTCTTAACGAACATTCTCTTCAATTTCTCCCTCTTATGAATCCCACCCCTCTGTCGAAGGAAACCGCAGAAGCCAGCTTCGCGGTTCAGCGAAAATGTCACTCGCGATGCCCAAGGGGATTATATAACGTAGTAGGAAGCGCGTCTTGGAAAGCAAAGGCCAGCAGACGATCCTTCGCGCTTTCTACCTTCGATCTTACTCTTACGGTAATTACACCGAGAGTCGAGGCTCCCTACGTGTGTGCATGCACGATCACACGGACGCGCATCCACATCTGAGCGATGGGCCTATGCACGTGCTCTCCGCCGATGCAACCGCGGCCGTACATTCGAAACCAATAGGTGTAGGTGAAGTGTACGTACCCTGCACGGTTTCGTAACGATGAAAGGAAGACTCTCGACGTCGATGGCAGACGATTTCGAGCGGCAACATTTTCGCTTTTGTTGTTGGCTCGCTCGTAGCTTGGGATCGATAAATCAGAGGATGGGAATAAAATTGAGATGGATCTCCTTGGCTACTGAATGCTTGATTAATACTCTGGCTTGCGAATAATAACAACGAACGCTCGAAATGGTACGTGGAGTCGGGGAGTTTAACTGTGGGAACCGTTGGAAATAAACATGATAAGTAGACTGTGGATATTAATACCGTGAGGTGAAATTTAAACGTATATCGCGGAATTTGATGCCACGCGATGCTTAACGATACGTGTAGAGGGGGCTCCTGGAAATTGCCGGCTCGGTAGTTTCGAAACTGCTCGATTTCTTTCATCGAATCGCCTTAGAAGCTGACGGCGAAATCACTCGACACGAACACTTAAACTGGGGCCTTTCGCCTTCCCGGGGGCCCTGGCTCGAGACTTCCGTTTTCACGAGTGCTCCAGCTGGAAAATCCCGCTGTGTTATTATGCCCATTAGAAAGAAACGAACGAAATCGTGCTGTTTAATGCCGAGCGTTCCCCGTTTAACGAAGCGAGCTGTAACGAACCCGATAAATTCACCTTGGTATTGAGTAGACGATGAAAAAGAGGAAGAGAGAGGAAACGACGTGATTTAAAATGGAACGATACAATTTAATACGCTGCTCCGGGCTGATTAGAAGAGAAATAAGAGCACGAGGAACGGTGAGAACGAAAGTGATAGGTGGAAGAATGAAAATGGTATGGAAAGCCAATTTAATGAACTCCTCTTGGCCTGAAGGCTTCGTCTATGGGTAAGCGAGAAATCGCAAACTGATAGACCTCTGCAATTGCTTCTAGTTTAGTGCCACTTTGGAGAGATCCAAAAGTATACAGAGAGGGGCATTTAAATGGGAATAGCTAAGTAACTTTGTTATTTATTACCCTGTGAAAAAGACTCTCGGAGCAAGTGGGACTATTTTAAGGGGCACGTGTAACGGTAGAAAAATTGTTTCCTCAGTCTAATGGTAAATCTAATTGAATGGTGTTGGTTGATGTTTCAGGCGACGAACGCGGGCGGATACTTCGAGGTGCAGATCCTCTCGCTGACGAACAACAGGGGCACCCTGGTGGACGGTAGGTGTTGCGGCGGGGGAGGAGATGGCGGAGGAAAGGGAGGATTTCCACCCTGCATGACCCCGTGCTCCACGGCGTTCTGGCTCTGCCTGAAAGAGTACCAGTCGAACGTCACCGCCATCGGCTCCTGCAGCTTTGGCAACGTATCTAGTCACGCCCTCGGCCAGAACACCTTCACCCTCAACGAACCCGTCACCCTGCAACTGCATTTCACCTTCCGATGGACGGTGAGTACAACCTCATTTAACTGGCGTGAAATGACATTTATCGTTCTTCCTACGAAAATCTCTTGGAATTTCTTCTTCAAAAACTTCTGTTCATAATTTCCAACTGAGTCATCCAGTTCCTCGAACCCTGGGACGATTCGAGACCGCGGAGAGGAAACATTTATTTTTCCATTACGTTTTAAACAAACAAAGCCACCTTTCGCTCGGTCCGCGAAGTACCATAAACGGCGTTAATGATATTTTCTCAAGCAGGATCGGTAATGGAGTCAGAAAAGACCGTTTCGAAACCGTGGAACGTCCACAAAAGCTTCTCGCTGTGTCACGAACTAGCGCTCCAAAACGCATTGCACAATCGTCGAAACGTGTCAACGTTTCGATACCCACAATTAATTTTGTCGCAAGGTTCTCGCTCTATATGACCATAAAAGAAACATGCGTCTTCATGGTACAACATTTAAATTAAAATTTTACTCAAAAATAAAAGAGAGCGTTGAAATGCTTGGGATGATCGCAAGAACCAAGGTTAGAAAAAGAAAATGGACTTTTTGGTACGTCCCGAATGAGAGATCCTTTTAAAAGGTAGCTCTCGTTCTCATTCTCGAAATCGTTGAAAGGCAACCAAGTGAATCTCTCCGGCGAGAACCGTCGGCGTCGTTTCGCAACAATACGGGGGGGCTCCAGTTCGACCTCTTGGAAAAAGACTTCCACAGGGGCCATTGTATCGCGGCGCCGATCGCAAATTTCTAGCCCGATTCCTTTGTCGATGCGGGGCGCACGAGAGCTATCGAATCAGACGGATTTCCGGTCTGTTGCTCCTCTATCCGTGAGTTGTTACGCAGAATTCCAGGTTGGTTCCACTCGCTTGGCAACACCTCCTCCATTCTGTTCCTCTAGCCATCCTTCTCGTCGTTTCGTGCCAAAACCTCCGACCACGAAATCCTCGTGAGTCGGTTCACCTCTGATGCATCCACAAATCGCGGTATTGTAAAGCAAAGATCGCCACCCGACACCTCGGGATCCACGATTGAGGAAACATTCCAGGTAGAACGCCATGGAGTTGAATTTGAATTTCGAATTCCTGAGTGCACGGACGTGAGACCACGGCTAGGAATTCTATTGTTTTACCTACTGCTTTGATATAGTTTTTAAATGTTTTGAGGGGGTGTTACAAATTTCTTCTTTAAAACTCTTTCTTTTATTTTGCTCTTGTTTATTATACTCAGCGTAGTTTCCTTTAATTACCCTAGTCTCTTCTATCCCTACCTCTGCAAAACTGTAACATCTGTCCCCACCAACAACCCTTACTGGGCTCTTCTTCCACGCTCTCGGAAGAGTATCATAGATAACAATCTCAGTCCAAGAAAAACAGTGAAACCTTCCAATCCACGAACTACTGGTCTCATGGTAGCATTAAGTACAAGTCGTCTACCAATTATTGCCAGGCCCTCGAGAAGCCCCTCTCGAGAGGACCCCTCCAAACACACGCTGCGACTCGGCAATATATCTTCGCGTAATTAAAAAGCCGTAAGCCCTCCAGTCTAGCAGGACAGACAGGAACGAAGAGTTTCCAGTAACCGATTGCTAACATCCCACCCACATGACGTGTCACCAGGGTCTCGGGGGCACAGAGGCCGCTGTCGAGCGTAATTACGCCAAGACGAACGGCCGATTTCGAGCGTCTCGAGGAGAGATCCTCTCCGAGAGATCCTCGAGCAACCATGACGACGTGTTTCCCCGCAAGAGGTATACACAGTGACGGGTACACGTCAAGGGTCCTCGTTCGGAACGTTAACGGACCGAATCGAGGCGTACTCTTGCACACGTACACACGGGGCTCCAACAGTGGATTATTTGAAGAGCAACCAGCGTGTTTGTATATTTCATAACTCGCTCGTGGAGGTTCTAAGAGGACCCATGGAGCGGGGTCCGTTCCTCGAGGGCGACAAAGGGTGGTCCACGACGTTCCATCTCGAGGGCCCGCGGGGGCATAAACAGAGACCCTTAAATTGCTTCCTTTCCTTGAAGGATCTCCGCTGGCCCCCTCCATGATGTTTTTCTTCTCTCTTTATTCGCCCGGCGCGACGGCCTGAACGGTGTACGCTTCTTCGAGCATTTAGCGCTCCCCGAGCTAATTCAATTATAGAGGGGGCGGCGGGGCGCGCAATAAAAAAATATCTATGGAAAGTAAATAAGCGCCGTGCACGTGTACACACAGAGGGCTTTCGAGGGGACGCTAAGTAGACCGCAGGGGTGGACGGAATTCTCGTCTATATAATGAAATTTTGAAGAATAGGTGATAAACAACATTTTTTTGGGGCGGTGGTGAAACTATTCTTTGCGCTGTGTAAAGTATTAGGTTGGTAAGAAGAAGATAGTTGAAACTTAACAAACTTAAAAATCTTCAATGGTATAATCATGAAACAAGTAAATAAAGTGACTGTGACTGTGATTGTCATTCGTTGTTCGAGTAAAATGGTGCCCATCTCGCGGAAATGGCCGTGCGGGTTCGTAATAACTACAAAACCATTTTCGCGGCGCCCACCTCGAAAAACGGTAAAGCCTGACTTTCATCGCTTCTGTGGATAATTTCGTCATTACCGTCCACGGTGATTGAATACGGTATACATAATCTCATTCGAGCGGGGCACGATACAACACGACCGTTCGAGAACGCCGTCTGCATTTAACGGCCCCCTGGGAATCCTTCGTGAATTCTCGATTCTCATCAGAAACGACGAGCGTTTCGATCGACTAATGGCGGAAGTCCTCGCTGTAACTGCGACAGAAATTCATTAAAGGGGACCGTTCCGGTTTTAGATACTAAAAATTACGATATTTTCAAGAACTTATTTGGAAGAAATAGGCGAGTGTATAGCTTTGATACATTGGGGGCACGTTTACGTATAATTGAAGTAGCTTTATGAATTTTTTCGTGTCCATGGAAAAGGTATTGCATGATTACAGCCTTCTTAATGAATCTCTACAAATTCCCTAATGTCTAAGACTATTGGGCAACAGGTCCCTTTTCCAGGCGTCACGTCTCGGACTTCGAGTAATCGTCCTTCGACTTTCTCCAGTTTGCAATTTCAATAGCGACGTAAAGAGGCATATGTAAGAAGGGAATAACCGCCTTTTCAGCGGTAGCATAATGGCACAGGAAACGATCAGCGAGATGAGTGTACGCCGAGCTTTTGCACAATCCTGGCCGTTCTGAGTGTGTGTCTTCGGTAAGACGGGTACGGATTCGCTTCTTTCCTTTCTCCAGCCTCGTGTCTCCGTCCTTTTCCTTCTGGCTGCCTCCTGATACGTTCTCATCCTCGTCGCGGTGTTCCTCGGGGCATCTTTGTCTTCGATTCGGGCCTCGATCATTTTCCTGCTCTTTTCATCGCGCGGTTCTTCACTCTTTCCCACACTTGGCGGGCTCCAGCCAACTGCAGACGTGGGCAAAATTTTATTCGAATAACAGACGATGATTGGAAACACCGCTTCGCTTATTCGCAACCATTACTCCATATTCGGGTGAGCGGTAATACGATTGGTAGTGAAAAGAAATATTGGTAAAATTTTTCTAACGAAAGGTTTCTCTCTTCTCGTGAGGATTTTGTTCCTGTAGTGAACGTACACGGCACGTGGATGCGCAAACGCAGCGAATCGCGTCGAAACGAATAGGTGGACATCTATTCACGGCACAACATCCACGGCTGGTGAGCCGATGATGTGGGCGCCTCTATCAATGATGTGACGTCACGCCTGCTGGGCCCACGTGGACGTTACCGTTGTCGCTCGTTGGCGTATTGTGTCGACTGTATTAGCGGTGCCGTCGATTTGCCCGACGTTTGGGGGAGGCTCGGTTGAAAACCGCAGGCTGATTCGATCCGAGACCTCGGCTTCCTGGCGCGGAATGAACGTGGAAATCTTACTCGACTTCTAAGTACTCGAGACACTAGGGCCTTGATAGGTCTCAGATACGAAAAGCATGGAAGTTGGTAGTAGTTGGATGGGATCCAAGTTTATTTGGAATTAGGAAAGATGTTTGAGATTTGGAGCAAAATGTTCACTTGGAAATATAGCATTAATGTTTATAGCTCTAGCTTTGCAAGCCTTAGAGTGTTTTTCAATTTGTTAATTATTTTGTGTTTGACTCGAGTTAGTGTTAATCTGTTTCAACACGTTGGAATGCGGATCTAGTGATCAGAACTTTTGGAAAAGATTATTTCACCGTTGGCCCAGATTTGGAATTGACTAACGACTGGTAGCATTACCATCGTGAATATGCAATTTATGGGCGAATGAAGGGGTTTCTCTCGTATCGTGTAAACATCACTCGAGGGCAATCATTATAGCTGTAGCAGTTCGAGCATCAAGAAGTGAGTGACCTATAGCCCAACTAGAGAGTGCAATCCTATACTGTTTTAAAGAATTAAGCCTATGAAGGATCTAAATTGAATCCAGGGATCTTATTCAACTCGTTCACCTACATTAGTTTTGAATTAGACCTAGAGAAATTATTATTACACGTGCTAAGATATCCAAATCAGAGGAGGAAAAGCAATTTTTCTCCTTCAGAAATCAGTTTAGTTTAGTTTCTCGTTAGGGTATCGTTCGATTGAAACTAGCCATGCCACGTGTCGGATGTCATCATTCAATTCACCTTCAATTTATACGGCATTAGGTTTCAAAACGCGATACCAAGTAGATTAGTCTTCCACCTTTAATTACAGACGGAAGATTTCTCACGCGTCGTTGGGCTGATCGTTCTCTAGAAACTTAATGGGTAAACATTGATCAACGTAACCGGAGTTGGAGACCAACGGGAACTTCCCCGACCCACTCCCGACGTAATAAACCCCAGGGCAAATAATTCGGAGCGTTAAACTTCCCTGGGTATCGTCCAGGTGGCACAATTAGCACGGTCGTATTAAACAAACGATCGCGGTCGAAATAAGAAAAGAGAAAACCGACGAACGAGGCGAACAGTGCCGCGGAGGCTTTTACCCTCC